GTGGTTGCTGGTTCAATCCTTACTGCCACTGATAAACTTCTCGAGGCCATCCCATTTGATAAATCAAAGATCATCATTGTTAAGGCGGATGAAGAAGCTGGATTTCAGGGTTTGATATTTAACAAGCAAATCAAATGGGATGCTCTAGATCAACTCGAAGAAGGGTTAGAGTTCCTGAAGAGGCTCCTCTGTCTTTTGGAGGTCCCGTTTTAAGACGTGGGATGCCCTTCGTTGCTTTAACTAGGACAGTTGGTGAAAGTGAAACACAGTATGTCGAAGTGTCTCAAGGCACCTACTTTCTCGATCAATCGATCAATGATTACTGGTATTTCTTCGGCTACATGGGTTGGGGCCGGCACCTACTCTTACAGGAGATTGGGGAAGGTGCTTGGACCGTAAGCAATGATAATAAGAGCTTAGAATGGCCGTTGAATTGAGTATTCCGCATGTCAGGCAGGGTAGGTGGACGTGTAAGGACAGAACGGGAAGTCAACAGAATATGGTTAGTGTAGAGACTCACCCGTTTCAATGAGAAACATGCCCTCACTAAGCTTGTAAATATGGAATTTTTGTACTTTCAATTGTAACAAAATTTGGTGGAACTGTATTTTGAAATTTAGTCTCTAAATTGGTTCATTTTTCCTCGTTAGTACTTTAACTTGTCTATTTTTTTCACGTTAATACCTAAATTCATTTAGATTTCTCACATTAGCACCTTTTCTTGTAATAATGTTATAAAGAAAATAAAAATATTTGAAGAAAACAGAAATATATAAGAAATTGTAGTAAAGTAAATTAGAAAAATATATTATAATTAGAGAAATAGAAATTTGTAAAAATTATAGAAATAGAAACAATTACCAAAAGAGTATTTGATATGAAAAATGTAGAGAAATTTAGATATCAACGTTCATAAAAATTAGAGATAAAATTAAAAAAAATGAATAAATGCATAAATTTAGGGGCTAAAATGTGACTTATCCCATAATATAAAATATGCTTAATATCAAAATAAGTTCTCAAACTATACCGTTTTTCAAGAACAGGTGCCTACAGTATTTTTTTGAATAATCTTGGTGCTCAAACGTTACCACTTTAGGTGTCTGTGCCATCAATGGTATTAATTTCATCCGTTAAGTAACACATGACATAATTTGATAATTTGATAATTTTATTTAAAATCAAAAAATTAAAATTATATATTTTTCAAAAAAATAATTTTTTTGAAATAACACCAAAACTTTGAAAACCTTCATTTCAACCTTTAAACCCATGTCGACCGTTGCCCTTTACCGTCGAAGAAACTCCACCCGGCCTCAGCTCTGTCGACGACCAGAACTCCTATGAAATTGTGACCGATCGATGAGAAATCAACGTTTTATACCCCACAAATCCTAAGATGAAAATCACGGTCCTACGCAATTCCAACGACCAATCGACAACGACAGCTTATAACTAAGAAAATGACAGATACTACGTTGACAATAACGACATATTAAGATTAGGATTTTAGAAATTTAGAAATTTTGGAACTTTTTATAACTTAAGAGAAGTTATTATTTTTTATAAATATAATAATATTTTAATATTAGACACCTAAAATAATAACATTTGTAACATTAGACACTTAGATAAATAAAAAAAAACTTTAATTTGGACACTTATTTTGATATTGAGCCTATAAAATTAATGGGGAAAATAAATTAATTTAAGAAAAATTACAATCAAACATTAAATATACATTCGGAAAAGAAAATATGTCCGATCAATCAAAGACTTAGATGTATGATTACTACAATTATATTGTTAAAGATAATGTTTAATTTTAAATTAAAAAATTATGAAAATTAGTAAAACTATTTTTCTGTTAGAAATAAAAGTAATTTCGAAACCAAAACAATACAAAAACAAGTAATTTTTCAAATTCAAAGTGCTTTTTAACTTTTTAAAAGATTTTTTTTCAAAAGATAAAATTTATAAAAAAATATTTTTAAACAAAATTATTTATTTCCTCCCCTTCGTATCACCAATGTTCTATATCTTTAAAAGTAATTTAAAATAAACACTTCATCTATTTGAAAACGTTTTTTAACAAAAATACTAGATGTTTAAATTTTAAAATCAAAATTTATTAAATTAAAAATTATCTAATGAGATGAATTATATATTTTAATTATTATGTAATTAGATAAATCATTAGAAATATATATCAATATTTAAAAACAATCATTAAATTTTACTAATTATGTAATATGAACTTCTATATTAATATATTAAAAGACTAGAAAATATTTACTTAATTATTTAATGAAATGATAAATTCGACATATTATATGAATAAAAATAACATTAACAAATTTAAATATATATTTTAATTGAGGCATGAAAATCATTGTAGCCAAAATCTTTGCAAGTAGCTGCGAGTAAAGCTGTAAGTGAAGTGGAAGGCAAGAAAATAGTTTGCAGTCCACAAGAAGTTCGAAACTCTGTCAAGAAAATGATCAAACTGCTTTGAAGAAAATCATTTCTGCCAAAAATAACAAGCCTCTGTTTTTTCTATGTTGAGAAATAAAATGGTTATCTTATCAGTCAGCTCCATGGATCAGCTCCATGGAGTTTGAGCTTTAAAAATTTATATATGAGGCTTAAGGCGAGACTTTTCACCAAAATTCGAGTTTTGCTATACCAAAAATATGCTATTGAAGTATTATTCTTGCCTGCAAGATACTTGCCTGAAACAATAGCCACACCAGAGGCGGCGATGCCTAGGGATACGAGAATTTTGTGGGTTGAAACTTCGGTTTCTGTGAAGGAATTGTCATTAGATCATCCATCAAAACAGGCTGCTTCCAATATTTCTTAATTCCTTGCAAATGGCCTTTACCAACAACCGCAACAACTGAACTATGCTCACTCGCAGTTCTTAGTAATGTGGATGACATGAACCTGAATGTTTACACATGATCAAACACACGGAGTACACAAGTATAAAATGTGTGCTTCAAAAAGCATAAAATGAAAAGGCCTAACAGTACTTGACAAGTTATTCAACAATATGAAGCAATGCAAGGGAAAGAACTACACAGGCAGACTTAAATCATAAATGGTTATATAAATTTCGAAGAGAGAAAGGCAATTTAGTTTTGTAGTCAAGAAAGTGTCCAAAAGAGTAGTATTGATACTCAAACTCCATGTGTTGGATATGGGTATGAAAGAGATAAGGTCAATATTCCCTAGTTTATATATATACACATATTTGGAAGGTCATGCCCCTATATCTATGTCCGAATATGAGCTGGACAATGGTGCTTCAGAAAATAAAAGTTCAAGTAACATAATCTAATACGAATAATTTGATAGGCATCTAAGGGAGCAAAAGAATACTGACTGGTCTCGTTCATGTACAAGAGTTTCCATTAGAGTTGGGAATTCCTTGCTCATTTCTTGGATCACAAGAGTAAGCATGTCAACATCATCCATGTCCTTCAACTGAACATACAATACAACTCTTAGCATCATAAGGACTTTAGTTTCCATAACTCCAAATACTTAATATATGAAAATGTAAAGAAAGCAATTTGATTGGTGATGAAATAAGAGAGAGAAAGGAAGTTCAACATTTTGTCAAGCTCGTCAGGGCTTGGCAAGAATACAGCCTGAAATAGTAAGGAATAGAGTAACTTTATCTTAATGCCAAAGTGGCGTTTCCCCCCAGGTTCTGCGCAATGTAACCTGTTTCATCCAATCAAATCTTTGAAAATGCTTGCAGGTCATGATTAAAAATAAATGAAAACAAAGTGCTACCTTAGCACTATTTCAATATAGAAAGGACAAAGTACAAAGTATACCACATAGATGCAATTGGCAAAAAAAAAAGCTCCTGTTGAATTAAGTGAGAACTGTGAGAAAATTCGACAAATGTTGAAGTAGATGTCTGCTTTTAGTGCTAGTGATAGAGTGATTGACGCATATCATTCATCTTTAGGAATTGATACGGTGCAAATGTTACCTTGTGGTTCTGTTTGGTATTGAAACTTTTATGGGTTGAAAAAGAAATCTAACGCAAGTAATTTTTAAGTATTTGTTCTATTTATTTAATATTTGATATATTATTTAATTTGATTGTTTAATTTTAATTTTTTTTGTGTAGGCCAAAGAAGAAATTAAAGAGATTTTTTTACTTTGAATAATTTCAAAATATTTAATTTTCGTGCACCAATTTGATTTTTTCTTTGTCAATATGATTTTATCTTTCAATTTGTTTAGGGTATTTTGATTGTGTCTGTCACTTTCTTTTGTTGTTTTGATTGTGTTGTTCACTATGTGACGATGATGTTTTGTTGAGTTGCTGTCACTTGTTGTTCGTGTGCTTGCTCCTAGATTTTCAAGTATGTTTTAAAATGTGATTTTTTCTGCTGTATGATTTTGTCGGTCTATTGATTTTGCTAGGATTGACCCATTTGTTACAATAGTATATTATACCCGATTTGGTTCCATTTTATTTTCAAGTATGTTTTAAAATGTGATATGTTGATAGATGTTTTAATATGGAAATGTTTATGGATGTTTCTAAATATTGCTAGTATGTTTTAAGATTGTATTTTGTTATTGTGGATGTTATATAAGTTTTATTAGGTGATTTTGTTTAATTTGTTCTTTTCTATTTGTTTGGTAACATTTTTGAACATGTTCGCGAACGTTAAACAAACCTGTCCAAGAACGTTATACGAATGCTAAACAAACATGTTCGCGAACGCTAAACGAACATGTTCACGAACGTTAAATGAAGGCTAAACGAACACGTTCGTGAACATTTAAACTAACATGTCCACGGACATTAAATGAACACGTTCGCGAATATTATGAACATAAATGAATGAACACGAACACTTTCAAAAATAAATAAACGAAAACGAACATGATATTAAAAAATTAAACAAACACGAACCGAACACGAACTCGAACACCTTTAAAAATAAACAAACGAACACGAACATAGGCTTGTTCGTTCAAGCTCGGTTCATTTACACCCCTACCTCTAAACAATAATTAGATTGTTGAATGTAAATTAGTGTTTTTCCAACAACTTTAAACAACAAACTTTTCTTTTAGGAAGCGATCCTACTTTATAACCAGTGAAACATCTTACCTGTACAGGACAATCGCCAAGAATTACCTTGCCACCATACTTCATTGCTTCTTCAAATGCCACGAGAAATTCAGACCCAGGGAAAACCTCGAGCCTACTAGCAACCTATCAACCTATCAGAATCGGTAATGATTCAGGACACATAAATAGCTTAGTAAGGGAACAACAACAATCCTCAAGGAACATGGACAAAAGGTACTAAGAGACAAGTACCTTTGCAAGAAACCAGCTGTAAAGGATAACAAACATGTTATGCTCTTTTTTCCACATATCTATCATTTCTCCCATGGTTGGTACCTAGTAGTCGATGGATTTAAGTTAGAAGATGAAAATTTAACAGTTTTACAATCAAAACAAAAGCCTAGTGTCATAACTAAGTTATGCAAGGGTAATTAGAGAATGCACAAGAATATCAAAAGAGTACACCAAAAACTACCTTTTCAATATCTAAAGCCTTACTTTTAACCCCTTTTCCTTAGAAGAAAAGAATTTACTGATGAAAGAACAAACCTTCAAATTTTGCGGAGTAAGCACTGCAACTCGACTTGAGCATAACTCCAAGAAAACAACCTGAAGGAAACACATTTTTTCTCCAAAAAATGCATGTGAGTTTCGAAGTTCAAGTTAATTACTGAGGTGAGTTCCAAGTCACCGTACAATATAATCGCAGGCAGCTAACCTGCTAAATGATCCATCCATGAATCAATAATTAATTAGTTTCAGAAGAGAAGCACCTGTGGTTTCAAACAACTGATTACAGCTTCAAATTCTCTGCATGATTCCTGCAAAACCACAATGAGTAAATATCAATCTCTTTCTACAATACTTATTGCTCATCCAAGATTATCAGTGATAATTTTAAGATAATTTACAGATAAGTTCCCTTTAAGCTCAATTAGGAAGAGAAAAAAAAGAACCACGATTTTTAAATTCTATCCAGCATTTACTCGTTAAAACAAACAGAAACCATGACCAGCACGTGCCAGAGAGACGTGCGCAGTACAAATCGCAATTGCCGCCCTGGGCGGAAGATTCGCACGAGAGAACCATCACGCTCCTCAAAAGCTCCTCCGGGAGCTGCCTTCTCTCCGAGGAATCGGATCTGTCCTGCTAATAAACATCATAGTCATTGTTTCCGTCGTAACCCTCGTTTTTTTTATCCCTTCTTCTTCTTCTTCTCCGTCTCATTCTTCCTCCTTTTCAACATTCACGATGCTATCGCTCAATCCGTCCGGAACATTAGGGTTAGGGTTGTCGATGTGCACAAAATCCTCGCCGCTCGGACGATCCGATTCCGTTGTCATCGGCTCCATTGCAGACAATTTGGGATTGCAATCGAGACGGTTGAAGACGGTGGGGAGAAAGTGGTAAATTTAAGGGGGTCTGGGGACTGTTGATTGTTGGAAATAGGCAAAACAGGGAGGGAATTTAGTGAAAGAAGCTAGAGCAGGGTGACTCGGGCGATATGACTGAGTTGAGTGGGCTAGTCAAGAGTATCGCATAAGCCGTTCCAATTACGGGATTCGTTGCGTGCGAAGGAGGAGCATAATTATTGATTGAAGTTTTTGCATGCTTCACTTTCATCTATACCATTAAATTTATTGGGTAAATTACAAAAGCCGTCATTAATGTTTGATTCTTTCATGAATTTAGTCATTGTCATTAAGGTTTTTATGGTGGATTGGAACATGAGCCTCAAATACCAGTTTCTGTATATGAGCTCCCTTGTATCTAAAAAGCCTTAAAAATTGAGCCTCACGGTATAATAATGTCCACGTAATAAAAAAAATTAAAAGAGATGCATATTTATTGCAATTAAAGTGCGAGCTAATATAAGAAAAGAGATAATAGAGAAGCCAAGTTTTGTTGATGAGTCGCAAGATATATCATTAAGAGAATAAATGGTATAATTGTTTTGAGGCTTGACGATGAGAATGGAGAATTGAAACAACGCTTTTTTTAATCTTGTTCATGTGAAAAATACTGCATTATTAACCTTGCAACAAGCATTGCATCATCATAATTCAAATGTGAAGAATATTCGATATGATGGGACATCTATCGAATATGAGAGATTCTGACTTAAAAGCTTTGTTGTTGAAAGATTCACCTTATGCATAGCATGTTCATTGTTTTGCTCATGATTGCAGCAACCAGTGAAGTGATCCCCATGGATCAATTTTTCACAAAGTTGGTCATCATCATTAATCTTATGGATGTATCTTCTGAGTTGCAACAAGCTCAGCAGTATGAAATCAATAACAAGATTGCAAATGATGATGGGAGTGAAACGGGAAGGAGAACCCCAAGCTAACACAACTTAGCAAGGTATTGGTGCACACTGATAAAGCTACTGCGTATCCTCTTTATTCATACATTGATTCGATTTAGACTCTTTAATTGATGATTTCATTAGTGTTAAAGTATATGTAGTACAATTGTTTGATACTTGACTTGAGAATATTATTTCATTATCGAAGCAAACAAGGAGTTTAGTCCACAACTCGAGGGGGCGAAAAACTTCGACTATCTTCGTCGACCGATATTTCGGCCACATCGTCAATCAAAATGGGGCTTATGATTCCCTTTTCTACTTTGTTCCCGCCAGTGTCGCCGTCCGTCGACATCTCTTTCTCCAAGTGGAAGCAATAGCTCTTGAAAACAGGGGAGCTAACCGTGACCCCAAAATCCAAAAGGAAAAGCAGCTCTAGCTCTAGCCGGTTCACCTCAGCATTTCTCAATCCTCCCACCCGAGCATAGAAGGCGTTGTTATAATGCCTGCATTACCATCGAACCACAAATACACTCACCCTTTACATATTAATCGAATTCTTAGAAAACATAAGAATTAGGGCACTTACGAATCATCATTCATCTTGGAAGCAACCATGATGCTGGTAACCAGCAATCTATGGACGTTCATGAATACGATGAGCGAATCAGGGGCTACTCGAGCAATTGCAAGGGAGAAAAGGTTACAGAATGATAGTAGATGGAAACTTCCTGCTTCGGACTGGTTAAATGTTAACTCGGACGGAGCTCGAATCAACGACACAGGGTTTTCTGCATGAGGAGGAGTGATTAGAAACAATGAGGGTAATTGGCAAATGGGGTTTTCCAAGTTCCTAGGTATTTTCTCGGTGTTAGAAGCTGAGATTTGGTGTGTCTATTGTGAATTATTGTGCGCTTGGGATATGAGTAGTCGACATATCATTATCGAGACTGATAGCTTGGAGACAATCAAGGTTGTGAAGCAAGCTCGAGATGATGCCTTTCGGTTCACAGTTTTACATAGCGTGGAGGCTTTGCTCCAGAGAAATTGGGTTGTTAGGTTCCAACATATACCTATTATGCAAAAGCCTGTCTATATAGACGTATGCGACAACAAAGCATGATGGGCTGCAATCTGTGTACTTGTATATCCTCTCCAAGTACTTTGGTATGCTTATATTGGGAGCCCTGACGCCATGAAACGCCTTCAGGCCTTTCCCTTGCGCGGCAGCAGCAGCAGAGCCACCGCCATCTAACCCCTCGCTCAGGACCTCAACAAGCCTGTCGTTCCGAGCCACTAGGTTTTCTAAAACTGTAGATATAATGGTGAGGACTCTGGGTGTTGTGGTATCAGCTAGGCTTGACTTGGGTAGCCGGATTTGGTGGGTAGGATTGTGGCTGGCGGTTAACATTTTACACCCCTGTGAAGGGAAGTATCGGAGACAACTTGGGTTAATGTTGGGAGCCTTGTTGATCGGTTAATGTTTGACGACTGATGCTATAGATGTTTTTGTTTGGTGTTTTTATGTTAATAATGTGAGGGATTGGGGACATTGGTCGTTTGGATTGTAGAGATTCGAGGGTCGTTGTTTGCTTGGACAAATGAGCCAGCCGTTCGATCTAACTCCGTCCCTCTTGCGGATATGAGACGATTGGGTTTGATTGGACAACAAATACTTGTTTGGGATGCGTGGTGGACGATCTCCATTACTTTGTTAGGTCTAATTTAGTTTTGGGCACCAATCAAGTCAATTCAGTCATTATAAGGATTCTTATTATTTTTAGGGATTATACTTTCGAGAATATATTAATAGGAGTATGTAAACGTTTATTATCTAATGATTGAGTCTTTTAAATAAACACTACTTTATAATAATCTCAGATTAATCAATAATAATAATAATAATTTGGTTTGGATAAACTAGGAATTTAGTCACACCCATGTGGTTATGTTTCGATAATCTAATTATTTTTTTAAAACTATACTTACTGTTATATTTTAGCTTTGTTTTAGTCCTTCTTCATAAAATTAATGGTGATGTTGACATATCATCATAAGATAATGTCATATCATTATTGAAAAAAAATGAAAAATTATTACGTCAGCGGTTTTGTTTATTTTTTAACGGTGAATGACTAAAACAAAACAAAAATATAACATTAGATATGATTTAAAAAATAGTTAGATAACCAAAACAAAATCATAGGAATAAGTAGATGACTAGATACATAGTTTACCATTTAGTGTTTGTAGTGAATTTTATAAGATTCTTAAAGAATATTTATGGGGAATTTCTTGGAACAAAGCATGAATGATGCGAGAACTTCTGGCAGATCCTTATAAAAGCTTAATATTTATGGGTTGTATGGGTGGAAGAATATTGAATGAAGAAAATATATGGCAAGTCCAAGCTATATAGTGGCATAGCCTGGCAGGGAAGGAGATTCTGAAGCTTAAGGGATCAATGGTGCAATATGGTGATCCTTAGAGAGTTTGTAACACCCTACTTTAAAACAAGAATTTATAAAAACAAGGATTTAATTATAAAAGGTGCAAAGGTTAAAGTACTTATTTAGATTAAACCAAAATTCAAAAGCCAAACTTCAATTTTGGATAAATTGGACAAAAGGTGATGATGCTTTGCTTTTGGTATTGATTCATCTTACAAAGTATCGATATTAAAAAAGATACTAATACCATAATGAGATTCAATATTTAAAAAAATTATAAAATTTTATTTTATTTTAAAGGAATCAATATTAAAGTTTAGATATCGATACACTAGATAAGGTATCGATACTAATTTTGATTATTATTATTATTATTATTACTAGAATCACTTGAAAATATATTATTGCTTCGATATCAATATATTATGGAAAAATTATTAAAAAATTAATTTAATTTACCTTAAAAACTATAAAAAGAATGACACTCAACAAAATATCACCCACATAAGTCATGATATAAAAACTATTACGTTACATCCACATCATCATTTAAAGGATTTTAACATGTAAATTAATTCTCAAAACATACCTAATGCAATTAAGCAACCTGATATAAATAAAGTATTAAAACATGACATTTTCAAGTTAACTTCTTAAACCACAATAATCTTATTCTAAAATGTAAATAATATAAGCATTAAGCAACCTAATAATCTTATTCTGGAATATAACACTATAAACCGTAATTTAAGATTCAACCAACCGAACATATTCTTCAAATTAGGTAATAAATTTTTATTCATAATATTTAATTAAAAATTAACACTAGATAAAGAAAACTTGCGAAGGAGAACAACGATTTTGACATTTCGCCCCTTAACCTACCTCACATTTATAACTAGGGTAAACTACACATTTGTAACCTTCAAACTAATTTATCAGGTATGAAAATTCTATGACGCTCTATGAGCACCGTTGAGTACTACTAACGATGAATACTATTAATTTAATTTATAAAAATTTAAAATTCTAAGGACTTAACATATAATTATAAATTAGTTGAAAATTGAAAGGTAAATTAGTTAAAATAAAAATATTTATTATATTATTTTTTCATTATCTTTTTAGGTAAACTATAACAGTGACCACCTAACTATTGACTCTTTTCATTTTGACCACCATTTTTGAAATTTTGTCCATCAAGCCACTAAACTATTTAAATGCATTCATTCAAGTCATTTGTCGTTAACAATTAACAGAAGTGTTGACATGACAGTTAATAAAATTTGTATAGTTACACATTTAGTCATTATTACTTACACAATCTATCAAATTGGTCATATTTGAAATCAATTCTATATATTTTATCCTCCAATCATATAACTTCAAATCTTTTATATTGAAATATTATCAAATGATGCACAAAAAATTATCCTCCAAGCATATAACTTCACATTTTGAATTAAAAGTTGATGATTTAAAATAAATAAGGGAAATAATAAAAAGAAAATCAGTGGCTCAACAACGAAACATGTTTGAGATGATTTTGTAGTTATTGATTCGATATGTATACAATAAACCAAGTTTCACGTGGTGTTTTTTTTTCGAGCTAGTAACAATACTTATAATATTTTATATTATTTTGATGTTTTTATTTAATATTGTTTTATATCTATATATATCTATAAGTCTCATATAGATTAAGTTACAATTTTGATGTTTATTAAGATATATCTTAAAAAAAGTAAGTAAAATAGTATTTGTTTTATCATTGATGAACTTTTAACAATGAATTGGTATTATTAAAATAGAACTTTTAATTTTTAAAATCTATTTAGTCATTAGACAATTGACAAGATAAAATCATCAAATTATAATTCTCTTTGTATCATTTGTTAATATTACATTATAAAAGATTTTGAAGTTATATGATTAGAGGATAAAATATATTGAATTAATTTAAAATTATGACCAATTTGATAGATTGTGTAAGTAATAAGGATTAAACGTGTAATTATACAAATTTTATTAAACACCACATCATCACTCCCGTTAATTGTTAACGACAAGTGACTTGATTGAATGCATTTAAATAATTTAATAACATGATTGAAAAAATTTCAAAAATGGTGGTCAAAATGAAAAGGGGCAATAGTTAGGTGATCACTGATATAGTTTACCCAAAAAGATTATAGAAAATAATATAATAAATATTTTATTTTAACCAATTTCCCTTTAAATTTTAACTAATTTATAATTATAAATTGAGTATTTTACAATTTTAAATTTTTATAAATTAAAATTAATAATGCTCATCGTTAGTGGTGCGTAGTGATGCTCGTTGAGCGTGGAAGAATCATCATATATTTATTATTTCTATTCATTATTTTTTATGAAATTTGTAAAATATAAAAAATATATGAATTACTTTAACACTGGATAAGCATGAACCAAATTATCTTAGTGCTTAAAAGAATGATTATTATTCTTAAAGGTCATGTGTTCGAGCAACAACAACTACAACAGGAATAATTGAATATTCATTGTCAAATGATTGGAATACTACTTTGTAAACACCTTATCTTAACAAAAAAAAAATTAACTCTAGATAAAGAAAACTTGAGAAGGAGAACACCAGTTTTGACATTTCGCCCCTTAACCTATCTCACATTTATAACTAGGATAAACTACATATTTAGTGCTCAAATTATTATTTTTGTATGTTACGCTTTAGTTTCATTTTGGTGACATACAATTAAAAAAATTAATAGAAATGCTAAAGGGATATTTAAAAAAAATTAAATGATAATGTGGCATCACCTTACTGTGGCAAGTTAACATCATTATTAATTTTTTTAACGGTCGGTGACTAAAATTAAAAAATTAACTGAATTGTTGACGTAACAACATGTCAGCATCACCGTTAATTTTTTAATCGTGATTTTAAAAGGAAAATAGTTTGGTGACAAAAACGGGACAAAATAATAGTTAGAATAATAAAATTAAGGCTAAAATAAAAAAGGGCAAGAGTGGAGATGCGGGATATGAATCCCCGCACCTCTTTCATGCTAAGCAAGCGTTTTACCATTTGAGCTACATCCCTTGTGGATTAATCTTTACATTTGTCTTTGAAGACAACAGATAGAATCATGGAAAGCAGTAAGCTCAACTCAGGGAATCTGGAAATGGAAGACACTGTAAAGCTGTTTGTTGAAACGGTTGAAGTTTTCTTGAGTTTGAGAAAACTCTCTGATCTCAACCGGAAGAAATATGAAGCTGAGGAAAAGATGAGGTCGTTATTTTATGCTGACTTATGACTATTGCTAGTGAAAACTTGGCTTATTTGATATGTTTTCTGTTTTTTATTGTTGAAAAAGAAGTCTTATGATCCAGATATGATTCAAAAGCTCTCAATTTCTGAAGCTAATCTCCGAAAACAAGTCGTTATGGATGCAATTCAACGAACTGAAAAGTTGAAAGTGAGTATATTTTCAGCAATCTTTGTTTTTCCTTAGCATGCAAAGCTGCTTGAGAAAGAGATTTCACCTTCAAATCCAAACTCTGTTTTGAAAACCGGATCGGACCGGCCGGTTCAACCGGGAACTGTTGTTTAGTCTGGTTCAATCTAAACCGGTTGAACCGCTATTAGTGAACCAGCAAGAACCGTTGAATCGTTCGAACCGGACCGGCTGAAAACCGGGAAAAACCGGGATTTTTGTTTTTTTTTTTAAATTAAACCAAACAACGTCGTTTGTTAAACGAGCCAAGTCGAACTCGAGTATTGCTGAGCTCGACTCGAACTTGAAAACTTTAAAAAGTAAGCTCAACTCAACTCAAACTCACAAGCTAAAAATTATCAAGCTCAACTCAAATTCGAAATATAATATTGAAACTTGAACTCAAAAAGGCTTGAACTAAAAAAAAATTTAGAAGCTCGATTGAAGCCTAAAATTCGAGCTTGATTGAAGTGAAAGAATAGTTCACTCAATGCTCACCAAAAGGCTCCATGATTTTGAATGTCAAATTACCTCTATTATTTATAGAAGTTAGTTGTGATGCTCTTTTATGTTTCTTAGCAATATGATATTGTTTTGTTCTCATATTTTTACTCTTTAGACTTTTGGGATGCTCTTCTATGTTTCTTAGCCATGTGAGATTGTTTTTAAAAAAAATTAAACCAAACAATATCATTTTGTTATGATTTTTTAACCCCAAATTTATTTTTTAATTATAGTTATATAATTATATTTATTATTTAATATGTTTTACCTTAAATATTATGTTGTAGTTAATTTGAATCATTTTGTTTCACTTGATTTTATGATTTTTAACTTATATATGTTATGACTTGCTTTGAATATGACTTGTGATATAAAAAAATATTTTTTATTAAATATTTTTAGTATTTTTATTTAATTTTTTAAATAATTATGACGTCGTCCGGTTTTTACGACCGGTCGAATCAATTCGACCGATTGAACCAGTGAATCGATAACATGACCGGTTTACTAACCGGTCCGGTTCTGAAAACCATGAATCCAAACGATGTGGATGCAAGTAAAGAAAATGGAAGGGAAGGATTATTTATCTAAGATCAATTTGAAGCATTTTCTGTTTATGGTAAACATTGAATTATTGTTGCCTGCAATAATTCCTTCCATGTTTGTTTTCACATATGCTTATGTTTAATTATCTCTTTCTCCATCCTTAGACTTCTTTACATGTACGGAATAAAGAGAAACTTGTTAGTGTCTGCCGCTACTTCTTACAGTCTTGTACGAGATCATGAGCACGAAAATTCAATCCGATAAGTTTCGATGTGATGTGATATGATTTTATTAGGTTGGATTTTTAAAAGAAAATTGGATATGAATCGGGTCAAATTTTTAGGGTATAAGTTCAGGTCGATTCGGGTTTAAGATAAAAAGTATTTGATATAATCTTATCTTTATATATTTAAGAATAATTATAACAATATATATCACTATATTATTTTTTTCAATTAAATGTCTATTTTATAATAAAATTAAGAATATTTTATATAAATATTTGTAGGATTGAACACGAATTTTATATAAAAATATTCAAACTTTGAGTTAAATAAAGTCATCCTAAATTTAAATAAAAACAAATTTTGGATGAATTGTATACTTTTATCAAATCGAGTTAAATTGGTTGAAAATTCGATCCTTATTCATCCCTAGCTCGTTGTGTGAAAGCGTTGATTAATTAGATGAGGCAATGCCATGAGGTAGTACTCATGGGTCCACTTAACACTTTTTTTAAAACTGTAATATGAGTTTACTGTAGTAAAACACTACATTGGACTTTTGCTCTCACGGGTACTAAGGAATTTCTTCATCTATTAATAATATTAATATATTTTAAATTAGTCATAAACCCTAAAAACATTTCTTTCAAATTGCCATATAGTTAATTCATTTCATTAATTTAGACGTCCGCGGATGGTTAAATGGGACGGATAAGGACAGTTATTTCTTTGAAAATTTAAATTTTTATATATTTTAAATATATTTTTTATATTTTTATTAATAATATATTTTTTTCTACCTAAAATTTTATAAATTCATCACTCTAATATAAAATCCTATAAGTTTCAACTAAAAATAAACTAGCATGTATGAACTGTATCCATAACTTATCTTTAAGACGTTTCTACACTATGAACAATAGATGAGTGAAGAAAAAAAGTCAAAAATTCACACAACACTTGGACACACAATCTTGGTTTATACCCTACTTTTCTTGTTCCCCCATCAAAGGAATCCTGGAGACAAGAAAGAAATCTAAAAGAAGATAAAAAAGCGAACACTAAAGTAGAGAGCACTGTACTCACAAAAGAAGCTTTTTTTGTGTGTGGTTATAATAGCATTACCAGCTAATCTAATCCTATTCCACAGTACATTCTTTATAACTTTACTACTACTTTATATATATATATATATTTCCACAACCCTTTCTCCCCATCTCCGAGTGCTCCCTAAAGAAACAAAAAAATGGTTAAAATGGGAGGCGTTTTGGTTTGTCTATTGATCGTGGCCATGGATGTTGGAGCAGGGATCCTTGGCATCCAAGCTGAAGTTGCACAAAACAAGGTGACTTGAAATATGCTACGTTTTGATTCCATCTCCATCAAGTATTACTTCTTACTTGTGAATATTTGCTTTTAAAAGGTTAAGCACTTAAGGGTGTGGATATTCGAGTGCAAAGACTCGAGCCATGATGCATTCAAGCTAGCGTTGGGTGCAGCGGCGTTGCTGACTCTAGCCCATGTTGTCGCCAACCTGCTGGGTGGGTGCATGTGTTTGTTCTCAGGAAGAGTTCCACAGATCCTCCGCTAATACGCAGCTCTCGGTTGCATGTTTCTTCTTCACTTGGTAAGACACACCTCATTTTGCTTTTCTTTGAATGTGGGATATTTGATGTATTTTTGGGGGTTGAACAGGATAATATTGGTGGTGGGATTGGGAACGCTGGTGATAGGGATACTACAAAACGACAAGTCCAAGGCGTCATGTGGGCTGACGCACCACCATTTCCTGTCCATCGGAGGGATTTTGTGTTTTGTTCATGGGCTGTTCTCGGTTGCTTATTACGTTTCTTCAACTGCTGCTAATGATGAAGGAAAGTAAAAAAAAGGAATGTGTCAACAATCACTATGGACCTACATGAAAAAACATTTGTAAAATCATCTTTTGATGCCATTATTAATCTCCCGGGGCACCATTCGCTGGCTCCTCCTCATTATTTTTTTTAATTTTTTATATCCCCATTTTTATCTCCTCAAATTAAGTTTAGTTGAGAATTTAATATAAAAAAAAATCTTAAAAGAAGAGAAATTCTCCAACGTTAATGTTGTCTCGAAATTTTAAATAAATTTTATGTTGTTCACATGATGAAATAAACATCATAAATTCTTATAAAATATGAATGTATCTTATACAAGTTTAAAACGTCTCATTAAAATATGTAAAATTAATTATAAAATTGAAAGCAATATATTTTGTTAAATTTTTTTTTAAAGTAAAGCATGGTTGATCGAACTCAATATCAATCCGATGCTAAAAATTTTAGTTGAAAAATCATTTCATCCCATGTGAAATTTAGTTTATTTTGTACAAAAACAAATTGAATCAAGCCTATTAAATCCAAATTATTTTACCATCTTAGAGATATGGAATGTGTTGAAACTATGTGAAGATACTAATTTTTTACCCATTTTTATTATTATTGATATTATTATTTTTATTTTATTTATTATTATTATTATTAAAATTATTATTACAAACAGGCTAAAATCGGGGCCCAATTACAAATCTGGAAGCCCAACTAGATGGCCCAACTAGATGGCCCAACTAAAATCCTAAACCAATTTAGGGTTTCAACTAGGGTTTCTAAACCCTAGCACCCCAGCCGCCTCCAAGATTCCAGAAGGCCAGCCGTCGCCTCTGCTAGGTGGTCCAACGTCCAGCTGCCGACACTCCAGTGCCACGTCACCTCGCCGTCGAAGCCTCTAGAAGCTCTGTTGCCACGACTCTGATCGTCCACGTTGTTGCCTATGGTGAGTCACCATCATAGTTATGGTGACTCACCGAAAGCTTCCTAAGGGACCGGTCCGACGAAAGCCTCGGTGGTGGCTATAAAAGCCACCACACCTGCAAAATAAAAAAAACAGAGAGGAAGAACCGGAGATAACAGAAACGAGAGCAAGAACCCGAACAGACCACAACAGCAAGCCAAACAAAACCCATAGCAACAAATCAAAAAGCAAAGAGAGAATAGAGGGAGAAAACTTACCACCGAGGAAGCTACGCCGTCGTCAGAACCTCCACACGCCGCAAAAGAAATTGAAATACCGAGAGTATTTCTGTAGATCTAGGCAACTACAAGGCTTTTTAGAGAAAAATGACACCGGATTCGTCTTTAGGACGTTCTGATCTTTATTTTGGGAATTTTAAAATTTTTCGGCCACCGACAGCGGTGGTTGCCGACGTCGGAGCACGGTTGCCGGCCGGTGGTCTCTCTCTCAGTTTTAGAGAGAGGCGAGAGAGTTAAAAATTCTCTCTCAGTTAGAGAGAGAAGAGAGAAAGAAGAAATGAGGATGTTGGCCTGAAGGGCCAGCCGTTTAGGGTATTTAAATACCATCTCCCAAACGATGCCGTTTTGGGAAGGGTGTTCTAATTTCATAAAGGGTAAACCCCGTCCGCAGTGCTCCAAGTTTGTATACCTTGCAATTTAGTCACTGAAAGTAATTTTTGCCTATTATAATTTAGTCTTCGAAGTTTATTTTATTTTAATTCAGTCATGTCCAGTATATATATTTAGGATGAATACTGAATTTAGTCCCTTATAGTTTAGTAATTATTATTTTAATCACAAACAACATGTTTTAATTTGTTTTAATTTAATATTTGAATTCAATATATGTTTATTTTAGTCACTACATTAATAAATAGGTAATATAGTATGTTTAGCCACTATATTTTTAAATAATTAATTATGAATTAGGTATTTAATTCTATTAGGTTATAATTTAGTCACTAATTTTAATTTTAATTTATTTTTACAAGTTTTATTTATTTTAAAATATAGTTTTAATTTTGTTCATTATATGTTAATTTTATATGTTTACTTTTAATTATTATTATTATTATTATTATTTAGCCATATATATATATTTATAATATTTATTTATTTATTAAATCTTATTTAATTACTTTTAACTTATTTTAATCATGTTTTAATATTTATTTATTTTCAATATTAAGAAAGGGTAGTCTTAAAACAACTGGATGTCCATTTTCTGATATTTTTAAATAAATAAATATCCTATTTTATAAATTATATATTAATTGTTTTAATTATTTATTTATTTTTAATATCGAAGAAAGAGCTATCTTAAGGCACCTAGAAGTCATTTTCTGATATTTTTAAATAAATAAATATTTTATTTATAAATTTATATAAATTAATAAATTTACTTAAAATCATAATTATAATTTTGAAATAATAAGATTATAAATTAAATATATTTTGAATTTTTAAATTTCTAATAATAGAGACAATTTATAATTAAAAAGTACCAATTTTGGGCGTTGTAGGGGTGCTAATCCTTACCTAAACGTAACCGACCACGAATCCATTTTTATTATTAAAAAGAACAATTTTTTCGTTAAAACGCAGATCAATTTATCTTTTAATCGATGTTTTCTTAAAAACTCTTTTAAAGGATGATTTTTAGGTATTCGACCTACTTGACCCAAAAGGCTAATGGCTACTCCCAAATTATTTTAAAAACATTTATTCACATCACTTTTCCCGCCAAATAAATATTTTGTGCCCGGACGAAAACCGGTTATGACAGCTTGGCGACTCCGCTGGGGACTGGTCATGCTTTGAAATTAATTATAAATTGTCTCTATTAATTAGAAAAAAATTCATATATTTAATTTTTAATTCTTTATTTTCAAAATTTTTATATATATACTTATTATTTTCATAATATTTATATGTTATTTTAATTAATGCTTTATTTTCAAATATTAAATTTTATTATTTATTTGTTAGAGGTTTGAACATTTCTCCTCACACACAACACTTGCATTCCATAACATAAGCTTTCTAATCAAGCTTGTCCCTTTTAAGTGGGAGTGAAAGCG